TTTTTTTTTCCCCCCACTTCTTGTAGGTGACAATGAAGCTGTCTTCAGTAAAGACTGCCACTAACTCCCATGGTTTCATTACAAGTAACATGATTGGCTCCAGCAGGTACCAAATCTCACTATGATGTAAGAAGCCCCAGCACTCAGATAAATTTCAGTTCAGACTGAGGGAAAGCCTGCCCCACTTCCCTTCCTCCTGGGGTAGAGCAACCAATCAGGGTTAGTGCAAGAAGGAGGCAGAACTGTCCCCCAGCCCTCTTAGGAACTGAGGAGTTTTTGGGTACAGGAGAGGGAGCATTTAACACCATTCTTACAGGAGAGGAAGGAGCAGAAAGTCTGTTTTGTATACAGTGGCTGTGTCAATGTGTGTTTTATGGGCTGTTGTGTCTTATGTATTGTTATCCTTTTTTGCTGGCATACATAGTTGAAGAGCAAGAGCCTCCTATTTTATATAAGTCAAGGGTGCACATTTTTTTCTTCTGGGAGTCTGCTTGTCTGCTCTTAAAGTGCCCCCATGCTTACCTGAAAAGAGTTTTTCTTTGTTAGACTCTTGCTTTCCTGTTCATTTGTATAGCAAGATGCTCTTGTACTTGTATGAAACAGTTTGTGGAGGACACAATCAAGTAGTCAGATGTGATTTTTCACTAAGCTTCATAAAACTGTCTCAAGAGCATCAACATTGTTGCTGTCTTTGTTATTGTCAATAGAGGAAGTAAAGTCTTAAGATTTCCCCAAAACAAATTTTTATGGCTACGGCGTCTTTGGGCCATTGAGAGAGAAAGCAATTATGAGAATGACTCTGTAGCCTGGTAGTTAGTGCACTGCCCTGGGAGGTGGAAGACCCAGGAACCAGTCCCCCTGCACCAGTAACTTTTTTGATTATTTCTCCACAGTGGAACAGCTTCAAAAGGAGAGATTGAGGGATTCCTTACATCAGATTATCCCATAGCCCAGTGGTTAGGGCCCTCGCCTCAGAATTGGCTGATCCCAGTTCAAAGATCTAGATAATACTTAGTCCTGCCATGAGTACAGGGGATGGGACT